GCGCGGGCGTGCCAGCACGGTCTACCGTGCGTCGAGATGGTTGATGTAGATAGAATGGTCAAGTGGTGCGCCTGTTTGGACTCGTCTTCTAATCAAACGATTGTAGCCGAGAGAGGAACTAATCTCGGCTGTTAGGTTCACGGCCTGAGCTACAAGGCCGTTTAGTGATGGTGTTGGTGGGTTTTGAGCGGTGCTCCAGCGCGCTGCTCAGGAAGCGACGGTCATATGATATATGGGGTGAATGAGCGAATAACAAGGATAATGCTTCGGCGCCTTGAAAATCAAGGGTCGTATGATATATTGATGAATGAATTTTCCTTACAGTCTAACACTACTCCTAGGAAAACAAGTAAAGATATTGAAAGCGCATTACAGGAAAATATAAGTTGCTCCGTGGGAGGCTTTGGTTTGGTGTTTGAACCCTTTGAATGTAGCTTGAGCCTCGTATTTATAGGAAGGGTTCTTGGAGGAGTACTCAAGACTGAAAATCCGCATGGTGGAGCCTGATTAGAGCAAGTGGGCAGTCTAATCGACATTTGGGATCGTGAAGTATGGTGGTGTGACCCCATAAATCCTGGTGAATCTCGGCCGCCGCCTTGATCGTGGGCTCTGTGCTTCTGGCCGTGGAGACGCATTTATTGTTCTGATAGCTGGTGACCTAATCTCTCAAGCTGCAAGAATTCTTGTGAGAATGTCCACGTCTAATCACTCTGTTTCCTGTCGCCAAACCCTGACTTCAGTCACTTCCCACCTTCCCTCATGCATTAAATGCTTATTCGTGGCCAGTGGGTTTGCTGTAATAAACAGAGGCATTACTTCATTAAATGAAGCATGAGACCCTGATATCACGTGATGATTTGATTCTGATATCTCTGGCCGTGATTTTGCTCGGCCTCGGCCTCGGCTTACAATCGAGGCCGAGATGATCATGCCTTGGCAACTTTTCTTTTGTTTTCAGGAAGGCAAAACACCTTGGCGAAACGCTGCGCTTTAGCTTTTCGAGGAAGTGCTTGGGCAGAGAAAAGGGGCTCCTTCGGCCAGTTCATGGCCGTGATTTATTAGGCACAAACATATATTGGTCTTGTTTTCCTTGAAGTAAGAAAGAGTGTTGCATATTAATAATATCGTTGTCTTTGCTCTAGTTCAAATTTTTCTTCTTTGGTTTCTTTATTGTGTGAAAATACCGAGTGTTGTAACTCATCTGCATGAGTGTTCTATTTGTTGGTTTTCGTCTTTGTTTAATTTTATTTTCTACATCTGGTATCATAGCTTAGGCTCAAGAATATGGCAAATAGAAATGATTTCGTACAATGTCCAGTGGGTAAGTTTGATGGGAAGGGAAATTTCCAGTATTGGCATTCTCAAATGGAGCTTTTCTTCAAAGTTATGGAGTACACAGATGTTGTGATAAATGGGTTCAATGGCCCAGGAGATCAAGCCACCCTCACACAGAACCAGAGAGAAGAAAGAGATGGTGAAAAATCGGAAGACAATAGAGCCTTGATGCATATCTTTGGTGCAATTGATCCAGCAGTCTATGAAAAGAATGCACCCACATCTAAATAGGCATGAGATATGCTAATCAATAGCTATATTGGAAGAGAGAAGGTTAAGAAGGTATGGTTGCAGACCCTGAGGACACAGTTCGAACATCTGCAAATAGAGAAAAAAGAGAGTATTTTTTATTATTTCTTGTAAGTCTTTACTAAGCTTTTATTTAACAATACTAACCGTGTTCAACCATGGTAATCGAATAGAGTGTCTTCTTCTCCTATGCTGCCTTTATTCTCTTGTCTCTTAGATAGGGTGAGGTCTGTATGTGAGATAATTTGCTGCAAGGGAAGGGACCTCTATTTATAGATGCATCACATCGATACCTTGCCTATCAAGAAGTAATCGTGTGTCCTTGTTGCATTTAGATTAGGTTTGTTTCAATCCATATTATACTAGGAATCCTCTTCACACTTGTTTTCTTTAATAAACTATGTATAAGTGTTTAGATAGAAGACTGGGTTTTGCTTCCTGATCAACTAAGAAAACTGAATCCTCTTAGGATTAGAAGATCACCTTATGTGGACTAAGACAAGATTTGTCTTACATTTCTCACATACCTTGTCCTTGGCTAATAATATGAAAGCCAATGGTGAGGATATGAAAGAGCTCCAGATTGTGGAGAAAATTCTTTGAACCTTGAGAGACAGGTTTGAAGGCAAAGTTACAGCTATTGAAGAGACACATGATCTCAGCACCATAACTGTAGATTAACTACAAGGATCGTTGTAGGCTTATGAACAAAGATTAAATGAGAAGTCAGAACCTGGGATTGATGAAACATTGCAGGCTCAGTTGAAACTAAAAAAGGAGAAAATGTTTCTAAAGTTTAAGAATGCAACAATGAGGCAAGAGTTAATGTAAACACTAAGAACTCCAATCATAGGAGAGGAACACCCAACATATTTGGAGGAAAAAGAGGAAGAGGTAAAGGTATAAGCTGAAGTCAACCGTGAGATAAATCGAGTGTCCAGTGTTTCAATTGTCAGAGATATGGTAACTACAGTACTGAGTGCAGGTCCAAGAAGTCAGAAAACAAGGATTTTCATGCAAAGATTGCAGAAGACAAGAATGAAAAAGATGAGACTTTGCTTCTAGCATGTAATGCTGTAGATGTTAGTGAGAAAAATAAATGGACACTGTAGATGCCAGTAAGAAAAATAAATGGATTCTGTAATGCTGTAGACTTTGCTTCTAGCATGTAATGCTGTAGATACTGTACTTTGCTTCTAGCACATAAAGCTCAATTCAATCTTGTCATATCCCCACCAAACGAGGCCTCAATATCTGATATATAAACGGGACTCTTGCTATTTTTGCTGTGAACATATCTGTTCTCACTATCCCACCCCCATTTGTTACTTTTCCAAGTGAAGCACAAGCAGAGGAAGAAACCTAAGACTTTTTATTGGTATATATGAAATACATAATTTTTTATGTATTTATTTTGTGTACGTGTTGTAGCGAAAAACAAAGAGGAGAAATGCTTATTGGTATATGCATTTATTTTTACTATTAATTTAAAAAAAAAAAATAAGTTGTCACTTTGGCCATGGTTGTGGAATCTGTGTCAACATGGAATAAAAAAAGAATTATTTTGATATAAAGATAGAGTTGCAGTAGAATAAAAAATAACATGGGACCAACAATATATAGGCCACGAACACCTTTTATCGTGGCAGAAACTTAATGGCAACGCCAGTAACTACCACAATTAGGTGTTTTGTGGTCAATTTGTGGCCAACATCCTTTGGCCACGGGTTGTCAGTGACCAAGTTAAATATAGGTCACGGGCTGTCTGTGTCTTATAATGATGTTTTCGACTAAAAACAAACATAGGCAAAATTGAATTGTGAGTATTTTCTTGTTAGGGTTGGCGAGAAAAGAAGTTCCCAAAGCAGACCGTTTTCTCATATGAGTGTTTTTTTCTTTCTATCAATTGGAAACCAATTCAACGACAAACCAAAGATATTTACTTTAATATAAAAATTTGTGGGCCTTCCTGGTTAAGGGTCCTAGGCGTCGTCCTTGAAGCCATGTCTAGAGCCGGCCAACTTGACTAAGCCCATATATACTATTTTCATTTGTTTTAATTCCTTTCAATTGGTTAAGTATGATAATTTTCTTTTTATAAGTTCAAGACAAAATAATAGTATGAAGAGAGTAAACGCAACAAAACCTCTCCACCAAAACACACAGCAAACAAGTTCTCAATACCAAAAGACTCAACAAACAAAACATCTGTAGCCACGGGCGGAGCCACAGTGGGGTCAGTGGGGTCGCACGACCTCTTGGAAGCCATGGAAATAGGCTTGGAGGTTCCTTGGAGTTGTTGGTGCGACCTCTTGGAGCTGCACACCAAGTGCTCGACGAATTGGCTGAAGGAGAAGGCTGTGCGCGCAGCACAGCGTGCCTGTCTTTCTTTTAAAAGCAACCAAGGCAAAACGACATCGTTTTGGGCTATGAATTTTTTTTTTAAATGACCTGGCCAACACGACGTCGTTTTGAGCCAAGTCTTTTAAAAAAACAAAACAACAAATGCCCAGCGTATCCTTCTATCTTATCCAGCACCGATACTTCCATCTAAAACCCCCAATTATTATTGTTTTGGTTATACTTTTGTTGTTGTTAATTGATATTGTTATTTTTGTTGTTGATAAATAATGTGTTGATACATATTTTTTTAATAGATATTGTTATATTTTTCTTTTTTTGTTCTTTTTGTTCATTCTTTTTTTTTTTGTTCTTTCTTTTTTATAATTAAGTGGGTCGAGGTGGAAAGCAAGAAAATATGGGTGCTGGGAACAAGGGATGAGATCCCAACATGCTTTCGTTATTCAAGGACGTTGTCTGATGCTTTCCTTACCATTCAAACCAGGATGTCATTCAATCTAAAAACAAAAGCAAACTAGAGAGAAAACATAAGCAGAATTCAATCAAAAATGGAGTTCCCTTCGATTCCTGAATCCTCAACATATTTGAATTTATCCCTTGCTCCTTCAAACCAGGAAACAACACATGAAAATGTTGTGTTTCCACACTCCAATTTTCACACCGGTTCTATCTCTGTGCAAGCTGCAAATATGCACAATGAAATCCCAGCAAATATGCATAAAGTCTTCAAAAACCCTTCTTCTTTTGGGTACAGAGGGTTTTTAGGGTAGGTTGGGGTTGATGCTAGAGTATTAGTGTGCGTGTTTGTCTGTATTTTTTTACAAAAAATGCCTCAATAGTTTATCTTAAAAAAATTTCGACATTTTTACACTATGACCCTGTGACCCGAGAGTTCTGGATCCGCCACTGCATCGTAGCCATTCAAGTGAAAAGGGATTTCTGCAAAAGCTTATGTTAGTTGTAACCTAATATGGTATAATGTGGTTAACAAGTATGATACTTATTACAAGATTCTAAACCAACTTAAAAGGATGAATAAATAAAACTTGCATACATTCAAAGAGAGAAATGGTTGAACCCAAAACGGATCACTAGTCAAATGGAATTTATTGGAAGACATAAACTATCTGTTCCAAGTATTTTGATAACACAACAATTATTACTATTATTATATTCATACATCAAGATAGAACCTTCCTCGCAATCAAGCGCGGTTTACACATGGCCTCTAATGGAACAGCTTTAGGCATGGTGAGTCCCTTATCTTCAGTCATGTCAATTTCCTTCTCACTAACTCTCTCCCACTCGAAGCACTGAATCAATGACCCCAAAGTCAAGCCCACTACACGTTGCGCCAAGCCTACCCCAGGGCAAGCCCTTCTTCCGAGTCCAAACGGCAGGAGTTTGTGGGAAAAATTATCACCATTTTCAAACCTCTCAGGCATGAAGCTTTCTGGATCATCCCATAGTTCAGGATCTCTATGCAGAGCCCATGCATTGATCAATACCATTGTGTCACGTGGCACATCGAATCCGCTAATAACACAATCCTCGGACGAAAGATGTGGGACAAGCAACGGAGCTGCCGGACATAAACGGAGGGTCTCTGAGATGATACTTTGTAGGTAGGGTAGTTTGGACAGGTCTGGTTCATCCACTAAGTTTTCTTGGCCAAGTTGAGCATCAAGCTCAGCTTTAGCTTTTTTTAACACGTGCGGATTGTTAAGTAGATTGGACAATGCCCATTCCAGTGTCACTGCTGATGTATCAGTGCCCGCCAATAGCATGACCTGATTTATTAAGAAGAAAAAAAAACTATCAAATCCACAATGAAATACTTTTATTATAAACCATGAAAATGCATATTGTACGGTATGCAAAATAAAAAAGAAATATTTAGTAATATATTACTGAAATTATAAATAAACCATATACCATTTAATTTTAATAAACAAACCAAAAAAAAACTCAAAAAATGATAATTGGCCCTATTGAATTTAATTTTGATTATTAAATTACTTTGATGTTTTATTGAGTGTTTTGGGCTTTTTTATGAAACTTTGAGGTTCTGTAGCAAGATTGGTCTTATTAATCGTCAAAAAAAAAAGAAAAAAGACAATGAAAAAGGAAACAAGTGGATTTAAAAAAACAAAAACATTACGAGGGATATAGGAAACTTTAGTAGCGAGTAAAATGCAGAAACAATACTTGAATAACATATTCCCGGATTTACCCTTATTGACTTAGAAAAATAACAAACTTGAAAAGAAAGAAAAAAGAGAATTTCCCAACAACCTGCCATGACCTCCTCAACCTCTCTCCCTTGCTCTTCCTCCTCACCCCATAATTTCCCTTCAAAATCATATACTCTGCAGACAATTCACCTCAGAAATCTCAGACCAACATGATATATGTCTGCAATTTGAACTTGAGCTTAACTGGTTTCTGTTACCCACACTACTCCGTTTGGTTTCTGAGAAAACATAGGAAACGGAAGGAAAAGTAAAAGTGTTGGATTTTTTTTTCTTTCTTTTTTCTATTTGTGTGTTTAAGCAAAACAAATTATTGAAGTGTTGGATTTGATGAGATTTCCCAGATTGGTTTCATCTCAATTTGCACCCATTCGAGTGATAGCGTTTATTGTGCTATATATTTTACACTTCTTTTGTGAATGTACACATCACATTCACGTGCACGGTGCATGTTCCCTACAAGAACATATTTCCAATTGTGCTATTTTGAAATACATATACGTATACAAGAGGAAATTTGTATCACATAAATTGTCTTTTTTGGTGAAGCATGTGACCCCAATTGTTTTGCGCCTCCCTTTATAATAGTAGAGAGATATATATATTTAATTTGAAAAAATATGCAAGTATTAAACGCGCATCAACAGATAAAGTCAATTGAAAAAACAAAAAAGAGGCTAGTATAATATTATGTTTAACTTTAAACGGTTCGTTTTTGGTACATTTGTAAAAATGTTGTTGGGTGTCCAAACAAAATGTTGTTTTTAAAAATTTGGGTCATGGTATTGGGTGTTCAGAAATAATTTATGGGTGTTCATTGCACGGCCCAGCCCATGAACTCTTGTTGGAAGCTAAAGGCAATTGACGTTGACAAGCACTTGCACACTTCGGGGACAATAAAAATTTAAAAAAAGAAATCAAAAAACGAAAAGACCCTCTGAAAATGAAAGCGTTAACCCAAAAACCCCAACTTTGAAGAACCTCAGTGACACTGTTACAGAAGAGAGCCGGGAAAAGAGAGAAGAGGGAAAACAATGTCGGGCTTCCCATTCGGATCCTCCTCCTCCGCTTCTTCTCAGTTTACGCCTTTCATCAAACCTCCTGTCTTTTACCCCGCCACATCAACCGGGTTCTCATGGTCGTCCGCCCCAGCTTTCGGGTCCTCTAGCCCTAGCTCCGCCGTGGCCCATTCTTTCGGATTCAGGTCCTCAGCAGCGACCTCCGCTCCATCATCCTGGTTTGGCTCCTCTCCTTCAACTGTATCGGCATCAAGTTCACCCCTGATTGGCTCCGCTTCCGCTTCTGCTTCATCTCTGTTTAGCTCAACTTTCAGCGCACCCTCTCCCCTGTTTGGCTCATCTTCCACAGTTTCTTCAACACCCTTGTTCAGCTCTACTTCGTCGTCTTCAGCTTCAACCACACCCTCTTCCCTGTTTCGCTCATCTTCCACAGTTTCTTCAACACCCTTGTTCAGCTCTGCTTCGTCGTCTTCAGCTTCAACCACACCCTCTTCCCTGTTTGGCTCATCTTCCACAGTTTCTTCAACACCCTTGTTCAGCTCTTCTTCGTCGTCTTCAGCTTCAACCACACCCTCATTCCCAAGCTTCTCGTTCCCAACAGCCTCGCCTCTTTCAAAGCCAACAACAACGTCAACACCCATCACTCCTACTCCATCAGCAACGGCTTCAAGCTTCTCGTGCGCACCATCCACTTCCTCTGGTTCACAACCCTCTTTCGTATTCTCCGATACCGCCTCATCACCCGCCCCCATTTCCTTCGCAAAACCCACCTCACTGTCCTTCTCAACTCGTTTTGCTCCATTGTTTTCTACAGTCTCCACCACAAGCGCTTCTTCGACTCCAACTGCTACCACCACAACCCAAGTCTTTTTGTCTTTGCCGGCTTTTGGTACGCCTCCTACTACTTCTGCAGTTTCCAGTACTGTTGCAAAGGCTTCAATGGCAGCGCCTGCCAACTCAGCTGCTCCGTCCGGCACATCGGGTTTAACAGGGTTTGGAGTGTCCTCCGCAGCTGCTTCTTCTACTGGCTTTTCCTTGCTGACAAAAGGGTCGACGCCTGCTTCCTCATCACAAGCGCAACCAAGCACCACTGTGCCTGTCTTTGGTATATGGGTAGAATGCTGAATTGCAATGCTAGATTATGTTGTGTAGGAGTTTTAACTTTGGAGTCTACTTGTATAGAGCAATTTGAGTTCTTGTGCTTGGTACCTGAATTTGTATTTGTTTTTGTTATCACTACACAAGGAACATGAAAATGCCATTTCAAAATAACCTCATTTTTTGCTGAATATGTACACGTCTAGCTCGAGTATATTTTTAGTTTGTTAGACTTCTAATGAAGTGTGACTCTGCAAATGTAATTCTGTAGGTGTTACTACTGCAGCACCTGTAGTTGCAACGACAACAACTCAGACATCAACGTCACCTGTTGAGGCTTCAACTAGTGGGTCTGTGTACTATGCCTTAGTGATAACTTTGCATTATGTTCTTTTTTTTTCAGGGTTAATCCTTTCGGTTTTTCATAGCTCTTCTTGTTATAAACAAGATTTCTTAGGAAGAAACGAACACGAGATTAAACTTGAAACATTAGATGGAATGCTGTTGTGTAACTTTGTGGTGTACCTAAACTATCTAGTGACAACCAAAAATTGAAAAGAAAAATAAGTACAGTGCAAATAATCATATCCTTATAAAGATTTGGGACTTCTATCTGACGTCTGTTATTATGCGCTGCTTGTCTTATAGGACAACTTCAACCGTCAGCACTACAATATCTACTGCACCAAAATTACCTTCTGAGATCACAGGGAAGACTGTGGAGGAGGTACTTCATATGTTTTCCTCTTCTTTTTAAGTAATGTTGTTTTCTTGTGCAGCTTTATGAGCGAATTGCCACTTAAATCAATTTTCATATTCTAGGTTTTATGAACAAAATATTTGGAAAATCCAACTACTGATCATTAAGTGTAGTGAAAGCAAATATGTTCTGTCACACATGTTACACTATAAATTCAGTCCTTCACAACTTAAAGAAAGGTTTATGTTTTCTTTGAAAGGCTAGTCCAGGAATTTAAAAGAACGAAAGGAAACTAAGAATGAGAATCCTTGTTTATGCCAATAATGTTTGAACCCCATCGGACATAGGCCACTGAATTTACAATCTCCTCTGCAACTATCTGGAGCAATTGCTTCTATCTTTTTCATCTCATGTTCGCCATCACTTTACTCATTTTTAACACCCACTTATATATTCTTGTCAAAGGAAAGAAAGGTGAAACTTTTCTTTAAGGAAATACTTGTCAATACCAGTTTCTCTACTCCAGTCCCTCTATTATTATAAATGCATCTCCATATTATTTATTACAGGGGATAAATTTTTTCTTTATTATGACCTATCCAACCTATTCCTTGTGTTCTCATTAAAAAGAAATCTAGTCATTGTGATGCATTTTATTTTTTACTTTAATTGAAGATCATCAAGGAGTGGAATGCTGAGCTCCAAGAACTTGTTTAAGTATACTGGTTGAGATATATGAACTTAAAGCCAGTTTTCATTCTGTATGTTGATACTGTAGCAACTTCATTTACATGATATCTTCAGTGAGTAGTGCCTTTACGCGTAGTGGTATATCATGTCCATGTAAGTAACATGGGACAATCAGTTTATGTTCCTTATTTTGCTGTATTGAAGATAAAAAGACTACTTGTATAAGCATGCACAGATTGATTTTTCATTTCTTCAGTGAGTAGTGTTGTCTTCTTATGTTGGCTGATTCTGAGTTGCTCTGACAATTCATTCTCTGTTTTGTCAGGCTCCCCCTACTTCTTTCAAGCATGAAACTTCATATCCTATTACCACATCTGGTCCTTCAGCTACATCGGATTGTTCCAAACTTGTGGAGCAATCTACACTTGCCGCTGAGGTCCAGATTTCTACTGCCATCTCTCCAGTACTACAACCCTCAAGTCTGGATTTTGATGCTCTAGATCTGGAGGCTCAATTGGCATTAATATGTGGAGGCTCTTCTAGTTCTGGCTTTACTCCCAGCGACAAGGCTCAACAAGCCATTTCTAGGATCAACCTCTGGCAAGCTAAGGATTTCGCTGTGGAAGAGGGCCATCAATCTGTGGGGGAACTCATTAATAATTTACAAATTTTGGCTGAAGAGAATCTCATCCCCAAGTCTATTTTCAGTTCTGGAGTCACTTCAGCTCAAGAGTTTCAACATGCTGCAGACTTGTGGGGAACAATTCACACTTCCTTCGAGCAAGCTATCACCTGTAGAGATGTCTGTCAAAGATCTACTGAAAATTTAGAGAAAAGTAGATCCCAATGCTCTGCTCAGGACTTAGAATTGCAGAATCTCAAAGTTGAAGCTCAAGGGGTAGAAGCCGAGATTGCCAAATTGCAGACACAACTCAAGGCCATCAAGACTAAGGAAAAGGAAGTACGAATTAAGTTGCAACTTAACCTTAGAGATGCCTGGGAGTTGCAAAAACAAATCACCACTGCCCAACCTGGATTGGAGGAGTCTCACGCATTAATTCTGAGAGGATCAAAATTGAGAGCAGACATGGATGCCAAGTTTGGAGTTTTGAAAGTTATTTTAACCAGTATTGTACTATAACTTTGATGATCAAATGAAATATCAGAGTCTGTCCTTTTGTTACCAATCTGATTTAACCATAACTTGGTCTTTTGCATTGATAAGAGGAATCGTTTTATAACCATATATTTAACATATGGGCATTTTAGTCCTAAATTCTAATTAAGATTAAACTCACTTAAATCATTATTTTCAAACCAAACCAACTTCATAAAATGCCCACAAATATTACACAACATAACATGATTTTTCAGAAATATAATTACAACAAAACATTAATTTTGAGGTTATTACAGGGAATGAAACCTACAACCTTGGGTGTAAAGGTAAATGTTCTTAACCACTTGAGCTACAAGCTTGCGAGACTAGTATAATCTTTAACCAACCTTGATAAAAAAGAGAAGAGACTAGTACAATCTTTCAAAATAAACAAATTTAAATGCTGTTGGGTTAATTTTCTAAAATTGGGTCACGGTATTGGGTGTTAAGAAATATTTTCTGGGTGTTCATTGTAAGGCCCAGCCCATGAACTCTTTGGAAGCCATTGACAAGCACCTGCACTGCACACTTCGGAAACAATAAAAAAAAAATTTTAAAAATTTTAAAATAAAAAGACCCTCTCTGAAAATGAAAGCGTTAACCCAAAAACCCCAAATTTGAAAAACCTCAGTGACACTGTTACAGAAGAGAGCAGGGAAAAGAGAGAAGAGGGAAAACAATGTTCGGATCCTCCTCCGCCGCTTCTTCTCAGTCCACTGCGCCTTTCTCATTCACCAACCCTCCTGCCTCGTCCCCCGCCACCTCAACCGGGTTCTCACTCGGGTCCTCCGCTTCCCCATTCGGATCCACCGCCGCACAGGCCGCCACCTCCACCTCCGGGTTCTCATTCGGATCCTCCTTCGGTGCCTCCACTTCCTCAAACCCTTACTCCTCCTCATCTCCCTTCCCCTTCTCCCTCAACACCACCGCCCCCGCCCCCGCCCCCGCCCCCGCTTTCGGGTCCTCTAACCCTAGCTCCGGCCCGGCCCCTTCTTTCGGATTCGGATCCGGAGCCTCCACCGTCACCATAGCCTCCTCTGCTGCCGCCCCTTCTTTTGGATTCGGGTCCTCAGCAGCAACCTCGGCTCCATCATCCCTGTTTGGCTCCTCGGCTTCAACTCCGCTGTTTGGTTCATCTCCATCCCAACCCCTGTTTGGGTCATCCTCATCGGCTCCCGCTTCCGCTTCCGCTTCTACTTTATTCGGAGCACCGTCGTCCACCGCTTCGTCCTTGTCCGGAGCAACTGTATCGGCAGCCAGTTCACCCCTGATTGGCTCCGCTTCTGCTTCTGCTTCATCTCTGTTTAGCTCAACTTCCTTCACACACAGCGCACCCTCTTCCCTGTTTGGTGCATCTTCCACAGTTTCTTCAACACCCTTGTTCAACTCTGCTTCGTCGTCTTCAGCTTCAACCACACCCTCATTCCCAAGCTTCTCGAGTTCCTCTTCAGGCTTCTCGTTCCCAACAGCCTCACCTCTTTCAAAGCCACCAACAACCTCCACACCCACCACTGTTACTCCATCAGCAACGGCTTCAACCGCTCCAAGCTTCTCGTTCGCACCACCCACTTCCTCTGCTTCACAACTGTCTTTCGGATTCTCCAATGCCGCCTTATCAGCTGCCCCCATTTCCACCGCAAAACCCACCTCGCAGTCCTTCTCAACTCCTTCTGCTCCGTTGTTTTCGACAGTCACCACCACAAGCGCTTCTTCGACTCCAGCTGCTAGCACTACAAACCAAGCCTCTTTCTCTATGCCGAGTTTCGGTGCGACTCCTACTACTTCTGCAGTTTCGAGTGCAGTTGCAACGGCTTCAATAGCAGCGCCTGCCAGCTCAGCTGCGCCTTCCAGCACAGCAGGTTTGTTTACAGGGTTTGGAGTGTCCTCCGCAGCTGCTTCTTTAGGGACTACTACCGCTGCTGCTTCTTATACTGGCTTTTCCTCGCTGACAAAAGGGTCGACGCCTGCTTCCTCATCACAAGCGCAACCAAGCACCACTTTGCCTGCATTTGGTGAGTATTTCAACCCTCTTTGGCTATTTTGAATATTTTATGAAAACTTCTTGGGTTAATTGTCTCTAAATTGGTTAATTTCCCATTTAGAATCAATATCAGGTGTATGGGTAGAATGCTGAATTGCATTGTGTAGGACTTTTAACTTTGGAGGCTACTTGTTTAGAGAAATTTGAGTATCTTGTGCTTGGTGCCTGAATTGGTATTTGTTATCACTGCACAAGGCACTTGAAAATACCATGTTTTGCTGAATATTTACATGTCTAGCTCAAGCATATTTTTGGTTTGCTAGAAAGGTTCTGATGAAGTGTGATTGTGCAAATGTAATTCTGTAGGTGCCACTACTTCAGCACCTGTAGCTGCAACGACAACCAGTACAAGTACCACTGCAATTCAGACATCAACATCACTTATTGTGGCTTCCACTAGTGGGTCTGTGTACTTTGCCTTAGTGATAACTTTGCATTGTGTTCATTTTTGCTTTAGGCTTAATCCATTTCGGTATTTCATATTCTTCTTGTTATAAACAAGTTTTCTTATGGAAGAGCAGATTAAACTTGATAGATTAGATGGAGTGCTGTTGAGTAATTTTGTGGTTTACTTAAACTATCTAGTGAAAACTGAAAATTGAAAAGATAAAAAAGTGTAGTACAAATTATCATATCGTTGTAAAGATTTGGGACTTCTATCTGACTTCTGCTCTTCTGTCCTTCTTGTCTTATAGGACAACTTCAACTGTCAGTACTACAGTATCTACTGCACCAAAATTACCGTCTGAGATCACAGGGAAGACTGTGGAGGAGGTACTTCATATGTTTGCCTCTTCATTTTTAGTAATGTTGTTTTCCTATGCAGCTTTATGAGCGAAGTGCCACTTAAATCCAACATTCATATGCTAGGCTTTATGAACAAAATATTTTGAAATTTCAACTAGCGAGCATTAAATGTGGTGAAGGCAAAATATATTCTGTCACACACATAATATTACACTATAAATTCATTCTCTCACAACTTAAAGAATGGTTTATGTTTTCGTTGAAAGGCTAGTCCAGGAATTGAAAAGAATAAAAGGAAACTAAGAATGAAAATCCTTGTTTATCCAAATAACATTTGAACCCCCTCAGAGATGGGCCACTGAATTTACAATACCCTCTACAACTATGTGGAGCAATTGCTTCCATCTTTTTTCATCTTTTGTTGGCCACTACTTTCATTTTTAATGTCCACTTATATATTCTAGTCAAAAGAATGAAAGGTGACACATCTCTTTAAGGAAATACTTGTCAATACCAGTTTCTCTACCCCACTCCCTCTAATGTTATCAATGCAAGTCCATTTTATTACAGATGATAAATTCTTCCTGTATTATGACCTATCTAATCTATTCCTTGTTTTCTCATTAAAATGAAAAAAAATTATATTCCTTGTGATTCATTTCTTTTTTACTTTAATTGAAGATCATCAAGGAGTGGAATGCTGAGCTCCAAGAACGTACTGGAAAATTCCGAAAGCAGGCCAATGCAATAGCAGACTGGGACAAGAGGATTTTGCAGAACCGTGATGTTCTGCTTAGGCTCGAGGTTATCTATTTCCCAATATATCAGAGAACTTGTTTAAGTATACTGGTTGAGATATATGAAGTTAAAGCCAGTTTTCAATTCTGTATGTTGATACAGTAGTAACTTCATTTAGTTGATATCTTCAGTGAGTAGTGCTTTTACTCACAGCGGTATATCATATCCATGTAAGTAATATGGGACAATCAGTTTGTGTTCCTTCTTTTGCTGTATTGAAGATAAAAGGACTACTTATATAAGCATGCACAGAGTGATTTTTCCATTTCTTCTATTTCTACTGTGCCTATCTGTTTTCCTTCATCTGCTGGTTTTTCTTTATTTATTTACACTGTTCTTATGTACTAATATGGAATTGTTTAGAATTTGTTATGATTAATAATAATGTTTAACTTCCATATGTTTTAATTATTTAGATTGAAGTGGCGAAAGTGGTTGAAACCCAAGCTAACTTGGAGCGGCAGCTAGAGTTAATCGAGACTCATCAGCAAGAGGTACTTTCATAAGTCTTTTGTATTTTTACCATACACTGCTATAATTTGTATTACTGGGCACTAATTTTGGGATAGCCCTCATTATGTCAGTCTTTGTATATAGTCTATACTCATGCATCTCAATTGTTGTTTCCTTGATTTATGAAGCTACTCTTTTATTTATAAGATGAGGTCTGCGATTGATCCCCTTAGATAGATTTGCACATCGTGGGCACACAAATAAAATCACACGTTGTGATTATCTTTGTGGAGGCCATTATAATTATTAAAATCTTCTCTTTTAACTTTTGTGTATGTTTCAAGCCCTAAAGCTGATACATAGAAGCTTACTTTTGTTAGTTCAATTAGTAGCCTTCCAGAAATTTGTAAGCACAAGAACATACACAGCTGCCTATAGACCACAGAATTGCAAATAAATGCATGATAAGGTTCCTTCTTCTGGTTATATTGTTAGGTTGATAAGGCTTTGCAAAGCATGGAAGAAGAAGCTGAGCGTATATACAAGGACGAGCGTGGATTGGTTCTTGATGATGAAGCTGCATCGACAAGAGATGCAATGTGAGTTATTGTACAATTGCTCGTTTTAATTTATGTGATGGAAATATTTTTGGCAGCTCTATGTTTCTGCACCAATTGCATATGTTTTTTCTTTTCCCTGTTCCAGTAGTACATTTTTTGCATTAAGAAATCTAAACATTTTGGTGTCACCATTCCTAAAATCAAATTGTGAAGTATGTTCCTACCTACTCAATTGAGTTTGGTGACTTGACATGGAGTATAGGGAGCATGAACTAGCCAATTATTGTTGGTTTATGGGATTAGTCTGTTGATTGTCAGGCTATATTTTGTGAAAATTGGATTTGGTTCAACTATGCTCTCTCTCTCTCTCTCTCTCTCTCTTGCACATGACAGACACAAAACACAAAAGTACACATAAAGGTTCCTCTTTTATCACTATTCTGATTTCAATTGCAGGTATGAGCAAGCTGAGTTTATAGAGAGAGAACTAGAGCAGGTGACCGAACAGATCAAATCAATTATTCAGACCCTAAATGCCAACCAGGTAAAGGTTTTCAGTGCTATTTCTACTTCTTAAGAAGCTTTTCCAACATATGTAGACAAGTATAACGATGCTTTCATTTTGTTTAGGGAGGAGAACTTGATACAAATGATGGGATGGCTCCATTAGATGTGGTTGTACGAATCTTAAACAATCAGCTCAGTTCTTTAATGTGGATTGATGAAAAGGTTAGTATCTTTGTTGCACAGTTTTTGAGTTATTATAATTAGCTTTAAAAGGGATGCACTTAGTTGGTTTTATTAGTAACTAGGAGGTGTAAAATACAAGGACTTGCTGATCTGGTGTTTGTTTTGGGCACCCATGTGCTGGTAGTCATGGAAGAGTTGCAAGTCTGGAAAATCATAAAATCTCAAACTCGCTGTTTCCTTTAAGTTAGAAAAGTTGGGGAGGGGGAAAATGCACTTGTTCTTATTAAAGAATCTCAGTTTATTCTTTAGTTTTTTGGTATTTTGTTATTTTGTTTTTGTACATACCAACATTTGTAAGATCGAAATGTGTGCAGAGAAGTGTTTTTCAAATACACGTGTTACTATGCCGTCTATATTTTCAGATGCACTTTGATTTTAATTGGAACACTGATCTTCCTCCATTTCATCAGGCTGAAGAGTTCTCTTCGCGAATTCAGAAGCTTGCCAATCAAGGTCCTGCTGCAGATCGTGAATTAATGAGTCCAAAATACTGGATGTCCTGATCTTTAGAAGTGTAAACTACCTTTATTTTCCTCCAAGATCAGGTTCTAACTGTTTGAGATTGATATATGCCAAATATTCTTTGTAATCACCATTGCGGTGCATAAATGTTGATCTTCCTGGATAAGATGATTGTATCAGATATTCAAATCTCTATTAACAGTTTGTGAATGTTTACTTGACCTCCATAATGATTTTGCTCTTTTGTGTAATTGACTGTTTTAAGAATCCCATGGCATGAGATGTCAACCTTTCTCACCGAAAGAGGTTTCGCAGATTCTTCCAAATGTGGTTTCGTGGATTATTTTTGTACCCTGATGTAGTAGTCTAGTAGTCCCCAGTGACAGTGGCAAAAGATTTAAAACTTTATTTAACATAACAATATTTCTGCATAAATGGGGACTTATGATGGCCAAGGTGCTTATCTTTGTACAACCATTTTCAGAAGCTAATACGGTGATCAGGCCTTGTGGAATCGAGTAACAACCACAATTAAGAGAATCACAACAGAGAGAAGCAATGAAGACCTAACTTTAGCTTCAAACTGATCCTCGTCGTCTGCCGTAGGTTTTTCACTCGGAGGAGTTTCTGGAGGTAGAAACATCTCATTCACGAGTGATTGAAATGTCTCAACAAGTTGCATAATTTTTCCTTTTGTAACATCCATAATCCACCTCATAATTCGTGTAGATAATTCTGGTTCCTCGTTTTCACTCTGAGGCAGCCCTTCATTTTGAGCCACAAAGATAGAGATTAGTGTAATGAAATTAAATTTAGTAGAAGGCCATGTTTATTGCCATGGAAGAATAAAAGCAAAGTGGTTTCCTAGTTATAGTTTTCTGTTTATCAAAAACACTACTTTAAGACCAATTAATGCAGAAAGACAACTGATAACAGAAAAAATCAAACAAACATGCATCAATGAAATAGGTGTTGCCAAGTTTGTGCATCAGAAATCTATTTAAGATACCCAAAAAAAAAATATTCCAAGTAAATTAAGTATGGGATAATTGGAAATGCATACCGGGGAAGATAGGCTCTTGGAGCTTCTTGACCAACTCATTGTTGGTAACAGCTTCCCATAGGGCTTTATCAGATGAAAGGGAGACCACCAGTCTCTGCATTCAAGTTAGATTACTCAAGTAACATTTTGGGAGAAAAAACAGCACAACGTAAAAGATGGGCAAGGGACTTGTAGCTCAGGTGGTTAAGAGAAGGCACCTTAACACAAGGATCCGTCTGCAACGATTGGAAAGCCTCATAAACTCTTCTTTGTCCATATGAGAGCAACTTTCTTGTAACACAGCAATCCAATATTTGCTGAAGCCATTGAAACTCTGTCTGAGATGAAGTTATCCCTTGCATAAAACTGTTCAAGATGGAAATATGATATCAGAAACATTCAAGTCTCAACAAGAAGTGAATCAAATCACTTAATCACAAAAGGAACAAAAAGAAATTATTAAAATCTGCTTTCACTTTGTGATTTGTTAATTATGAACATAGTATTCTTTGATTCTGGATATCATTCAAATAATTTATTATTGTTTTAAGTTAAGCTTGTGTAAGCAAATCATTAATGAACACAGTTTTTCCCTCCCTTCATTTCATCAAGTCAGCTAAAGGAAATTTGCATGGGAAATTTGATCAGTTTTCCAAAAACATAAAACTAAATTAAGGTGAGAGGAAATATAATCATCAAGTAAAATAAGTAAAAGGCATCCAAGGAAATATAAACATAAAAATAAAGATAAAGATTTAGATTATATGAAAATAAGTAAAATCTTGACTGCTTTTCATGGGATTGATTGAACATCCACTCCGTGGACAAAATTTGAGTTCCATAACAGAGTAGATAACATTACCCCATCAAAAGAATCATACCCCAAAAGTTTAAAATTTTGTAAAGTTAATAATACTTACTTGAGTTCGAATCCACCTCCCGTAGTTTAGATTAGATTAGATTAAACTAGAATATAGCTTGTATAAAAATTAAAAAAAAAACATAATACTTACTTGAGAAGAGCAGTTATTGCATTTTGGACTTCAAATTGGGAAGGAACAGGCCCAAAAACAGAGCTCAGAGAAGACCCACTTGCTCTTCTATCTTCTTTTCCATATGCAAGCTCTAGTTTTCTGCAACTCTCACTTCCACAGAAACAGTATGTGGCAGAACAAGAGGGTTTAACAGTGGCAACATAACTGGATGAAACTGGACGCTTCGAAGAAGAAGAAGAAGAAGAAGAATGTTTGATGTGGATGGTGGGCAGGTCAATATGCATGGTTCCTCCTCCCATGGCTTTTCTTTCTTTCTTCAATCTGCTGAGGCTCTTCTGAGTTGAAATACAAAAGGGAAAAGAATTGGCCGTTTTCTCTTGTTAGTGTTTTTTTCGTTGGTTTTCATATCTACACGTCAAGGATTCAACACCTGATGTTTAGCCAATCTGTTGTAAACTATTCTGAGAAATCTCATCCTTCCCCAGAGGCCCATGTTGATATATTTTGGGCTGTTGCTTCCTTTCATATATGTTTTTTTTTTTTTTTGGGGTTCGAATTGTAAGATAGATATTTTCAATCATGTCAATAACAAGGAGCTTGTAACTTAAATGGTTAAAAATATTTATCTCTACATTCAAAGTCCTAGATTCAATTTTCTCCTTTTTAATATCGCTTGTATAGAAAGAAAAACAAAACAAAAAAGCGCCAATAAACTAACATTGTGACAAATCATAAATAAAACTTTAACTTGCCATAAATAGATATCCAAAATTGAACTTTATTGTGGTTGTAAGATAAGTGACTTAGCACGGATAAATTAGTAATCACGCACTCGTTCAAGTGTAATTACTTAAGAGGACCCTCTTTGTCACCTAAAGATGGTTTAATCTCAACTATACCCTTTTAATATGAGACAAGTTCAACACCAAACTTAAAATTTGAAGATAATGTAGTAATTACACTCCATTTTCACTCCTCATTTTGAACAAATATGGACAAACGTTTTATGAACTCTTCCACTTGAAAAGAAATTTGTGAGTTTTGACAAAACATTGATTGGTTCTCTGACTGGCTCAATCTGCCTCTATCGAGGAAAACTCTCATGCAACGTCAATAACACTTTTTGCTATTCTACTCAATAACACAATGACATGTATGATAACTTTTCCACGTGTCATTATGTTATTGACTGAGATAGCAAAACATTTATATCCCCGCTACAAGTAAATATTTTTTTGTCTCGATGACACTAATTAAAAAGCCAAAAAACAATAATTAAAAAAGATCTATGGTGGAAATACGACGTCGTTGTTATATACTTAATTTGTTCCATCAATGCAAAATTATTGTACATTTCCAATTGCTGCTATTAAGACATGGCGTTTGAGAGTGAATGAAGAGCCGAAGAGGACGCGTTGCGTTGAGAAAGAAAGCAACAAAGAACAGGCTCATAGATTTGTACACCATTCTCTCAGAAACTCCTCCACATCTGGAGTAGCTTTCCCATTTTTTCCTTTTTGTGTTTCTTTAATTCCAAGGTACATTTCCCTCTCTGATTTCCATTTTTGATCCATGTTATATATAAGAACTATACATACATTTATATCAAATATGAAGAAAATGTATAATGTAGGTTTGGGTTGGACCAGATGGCTGATGGAAATCCCCAATCGAGGTACGTGAAGTTGACGAGGGAACAAGAAGCGCCAACGGAAGATATCACCCCTGGAGAGCTCAACCAACCCATTCAAATTCCTCAGGTCCTTCTTTCACTTCCTGGGCTTCGAATTTTTTTTGCAGAAAATCGCAAATTTGGGTTCATATCTGAGAAAAATGATAATGTTGGATGTTGGTTTTCTGTTGTTTTTTGTGTTTTCTTCTATCTTGTTGCAAATTAGCTTCTGGTTTGCTTATAATTGATATTCTTAGAAACCTCTCCTCTGTTTTTAAATTATAAGTGCAATGCTAATGATATTTCTGACATTGAGGTGACATGTTTTAGTGTGCATTTATCTATGTGATGTACCTCAATCTAATGTTGAAATATTGTCCTTGTTATGTTTTTTTGTTGGTGTTGATGATTATGTTTAGTACTGGACAGTTAATTGTTGATAAGTGTGCGGAATGTGGGCAACCCCTGCCTGAAAGATACCAACCCCCAGCTGATGAAGAATGGACAACTGGGATATTTGGCTGTGCTGAAGATCCTGGGAGTTGTAAGCGTTCATCTGCTGTATCACTTTTCGTTTTCTTTTTTCTCGGGATGGGAGGCGGTTTGAAAGCATAATTTTCTACTTTTGTTGATTAATCAGGCGAGGAAAAACAGGGTTACATGTGGCCCACTTATGATGATTAATAAGGCAAAGAAAAACAATGTTAAAATGTGACCTAATGATTTGGAAGTTAGACCTTTAGATTGTCCAAGTTAAGCAAAATTGTTTTTTTACGCAACCAGTTCTCACCTCAGCAGGTCAGAAGGCTTTGTGTATCCAAATAGGAATAGCATTTTGGAAATTTATGTTACTCTCCTAGCTTTTACATATTGTGTTCCTTGCTGAGATCATAATGTGCCTAGATTTGTTTGGATTTTCTGAAGAAAAAGAGAGAAGATTTTTAGATTTTAGAGTATTAGTTGAGTGAGATAAATTAGATGTCACTACCCTGATGGAATATATTTTATCACACTTTCCTGATCATTCAAAATTCCTTGAATTTATTGTGTTTATGTTGCAGGCTGGACTGGACTTTTCTGTCCTTGTGTGCTGTTTGGGCGTAATGTTGAAACAATACGAGAAGATATTCCCTGGAACAATGCCTGTGTTTGCCATGCCATGTGTGTTGAAGGAGGAATTGCAGTTGCAGCAGCAACAGGATTCTTTCATGGTCTTGATCCTAAGACTTCAGTTCTCATCTGTGAGACATTGCTATTTGCCTGGTGGATGTGTGCAATCTACACAGGTCTGTTTAGGCAGTCATTGCAAAAGAAGTATCATCTCAAGGTGAATTTCAGTTCCTATATTTCTTGAAATGCAAAATAAATCAGATCATCTGGAAGAATAGGATGTGAATAAATTTCTGAAATGTAAAAGGCCCGTGTACATTCACTTTAGATAATTTTGTGTTTTCTCCAATTTATTTTTGCATTTTTGGTAAGTTATTTTGTTAAATTTTTTTCCACATGATTTTGCTTTGTACGCAAATGGCTTTTGGTGATAGGCCCTACTTTTAATAAGGTGAAGTTTTTCTTGTCTCACATATAATATATAGCTTCTGATGTGAATTTTATGTCATACTATGAAATGTTGATTCATGTGTTTGACTTTCCCGTTCGAGTGTGATGTTCTTTTGTTGTGTGTGTGTAAACCAGATGGTTTGTTTGCTAAATTGCCTTTGCACTATCCTCAGCTGGTCAGCAAATCAATTATCTACATTGTCTGCTATAAAGAGCTTTTAGATACAAGATTGTTTTTTAATCAGTGTTTACTTCGATAATTTTATGTGTTAGTAGCACTGATGCTTCAGAAAGAGCAGACTTCATTTATTTTCATTTATATGCTTGAAATTTTATCTTTCTTCAATACTTCCTTCTAAACTTAAGTAGGATAAAAATAAATAAAAATTCATTTGTTAATCAGTTTCCCAGATAGAATGTGAAATGGATGAATTTGAGCCTTTAAGTGTATTTGTTTACTTTTCTGCTATCAATATCTAGATTTAAGTCTCTCTGATGTACTAGCATTGCATGCTGAAAAGATGTATCTAAATCAAAGACCTAAGTGGTCATAGAAAGAAGCCATCAACACATTAGTTATCAAATGGTTTAGATACTCCAATTTTTAGAGCTAATACGGGGCCCTTGAGACATGATATCACGGGTTCCTGTTTTCAAAACCTCAAGATTTACAGCTTTAAATTTTTGGTGGAAACTCAGAATATTTTGTTTATGAAAGAGTAGCTTGAGGTTTGTAACAATTGCTTTCAGAAAAAAGTAATTTAGTGTTAGCTTTTATTATGGAAAGAAAGCCCTGAAATCTGTTTCCCTTCCTGAAAAAGCTAATGAACTCTTTTAGGATTATTTCATTTGAACATTAACACCTATAGTGGTGATGGGTTCTGACTTAGTGTGCTACTTTTCTGCAGGATTCACCCTGTGATCCATGCCTGGTGCACTGCTGCATGCACTGGTGTGCTTTGTGTCAAGAGCACAGGGAGATGAGGAACCACCTATCTGATAATACTTCCAATACGATGACCCTTGTTGCCCCTCCACCAGTTCAAGAGATGAACTCTGGAGAGAACAAGGATGCTGCTTCGTCTTCGGAGTCTTCAGGTCATGAACACAATGATGCTGCTTCGTCTGCAGAGTCTTCTGATCATAAAAACACCAATATGGAGTTGGCCCTGCAGCCTGTGTAGAGGATTAGCATTTTGCTACATAAATGAAAAGAATCTTTCTTTCCATACAATTCAAGTCTTTAGAAGATCAACCTGTGCAGAAATTTGAAGACCCTCAAACATCATTAGGATGCAAGATCTGTTGCTTTTGAGAAACATCATATAAGTGAGGCTTTGTTATTGTCATCAAGTTGATTCCTTTCTAAGGGTTTAGAAATGTTCATTATTTTGACACCAATTTCATTGACCCATGGATTTTGCGTTATAGTAGTCAAAAGTAAGAAACTCCTACTTCAAGACTGTCACATCTGTGCAATATTATCAATTTTACTACAAAAATTAAGCTAGAAAAATGTAAGAATTGTTCTTATTTTATATTTTATTTTATACAAGCGATAGTAGGGGTGTGGAATCACATGCACTACCTCACAACATAATTTCCTTATTCAAATGATTCATTTTTTAGTTTTTCCTTCAAAGATCATTCATGTAAACAATCATCAAAATTGGAAATTCATTAGATATTTAATTTTTATTAGTCTTTCAAACGCTTTTAGCCAATTCACTGTGATTAGTTTTTTTTAGGTGAGACCCAAGGGTATCCACCGCCGACAGCAATGACTAATCCCTTTTGCCGCGGGAGCTCTCCCAATGGAGGTAAACGGCTGGCCACGAAATGCGCTCCATTCCCATGGGCGGGGATCGAACCCCCAACCTCTTGGTTAAGGAACTGTGATTAGTTTTCCAGTAACAACTAGATGATTATTTATTCTTGATTTAGATTATTTTACCTATGAGTCGTGTTTGACCTGGGTCATAAAAAATAGATGGTTCAAATCATGAAATTAAAATTTCAAATAATCAGACCGAACCAAGACCAACCCGAATTTTTATTTTTATTTTTTCTTCCACTTCATCTCTCAAAATCTCTCTCTGTAAGGCCATTTTCAACCCATGACGCCAAGCCCAAAAATATCCCAAATTATAGCCCAAAACCTCTCACAACCCAAGAAAATAAAGGAGCCTAAATTTGGGAAAACCCAACTTGGGGCCAAATAGTATCCAACTATTGCCTGGACTCAAAAAAAATTTCAGTGGAGCCCACCTGCTGCTAGTGCAGCCCATGTGCAAGAAATCAGATTAGGGCTCGTCACTGCAGTTGGTTATGTTGCCATTGGATTCCAACGGCAACAATTCAAATTTCATTTTTTTTAATATTCTAATAGTAACTTAAATCAACGATCTAGATTAAATCTAAGCTATTTTAATGGTAAAAAAAAATCCAACGGCTAAAATTTAACTCCAACGGTCAAATTAATCTAAATCATATCCAACCCCAAAACTCACTCCAAATTCTATAAATACTCACTCATTTCTCAATTAATCTACCAAAAACATTTTTTTCTATTTCTCAATTTATTTTTCCTTTGTCAATTTCATCAATCTTCTTTCATTCTCATACTTTTCATATCATTTCAAGCTTTCAATGGATAACCGTGGCAAGGCCATCTTTTTCTTTATGTTTGATGATGATTCAGATGATGAGGAACATCATCAAAGAGTGATACAAGTCATTGTCCACCATACTTCACTGGAGAATGAAGCCACCAAACATGGTGGGTCGGTAGTTGGTCGTGAGTACAAGAATCGTGAGAGGGAAGATCACCATCGCAATCTCATGTTCAACTACTTTGTTGAAAGACCACATTTTAATAGTACGGACTTTCGTAGTCGGTTCCGAATGCGGAAGGAGTTGTTTTACTGCATCTTGAATGATGTTGTCAACCACGAGCCATACTTTTGCCAGAAAAAAGATGGGCTCGGCCGACTAGGGCTATCCTTGAGCAAAAGTTAACCACTGTCTTTCGTATGCTCGCATGGGGATGCTCGGCTAAAGCGACCGACGAGTACTATGGATTGGGTGAAAGCACAGCTCTTGAATCACTCCGTAAGTTTTGTTGTGCTATTGAAGCCGTGTATGGACAATGGTACCTTAACTCTCCAAATCCAGCTAACCTTAATAGGCTATTGGACAAGGCAAGCCGTCAATGCTTCCTATGCATGTTAGGAAGTCTTGATTGCATGCACTGGGAATGGAAGAACTGCCCATCTGCTTGGGCAGGCCAATTTATCGGTCACAAAAAAAAAAAAAAAAAAAAAAAAAAAACAAGCTTACAAGCTATTGCACAAGGCAAGCAGTTGAGGCTTCCCAAGGATGTTAGGAAGTCTTGACTGCATGCACTGAGAATGGAAGAAATGCCCATCTTCTTGGGCAGGCCAGTTTACTGGTCACAAAAAAAAACCCATTGTTGTGCTAGAGGCCGTGGCCTCGTACGACACATGGATATGACATGTCTTTTTTGGAGCTACTGGATCCAACAATGATATCAACATTTTAGCTCGTTCTCCATTGTTCAATGATGTGGTACATGGAGTGGCTCCTTATGTTGAATATATTGTCAATGGAAATCAATACCATTTGGGCTACTACTTAGCAAATAGGATCTATTCCCATTGGGCTACTTTGGTGAAGACCATCTCTTCTCATGAATCATGATAACCTAAAGAAAAGGCTTTTTGCACAAATGCAAGAAGCGTACATGAAGGATGTTGAAAGAGCATTTGGAATACTACAAGCTCGATGGGCTATTGTTCGGCGCCCTGCACGTATGTGGTGCAAGGATAACCTCCACTCAATCATGATGACGTATATAATTTTGCACAACATGATTGTGGAGGATGAGTACGAATATGTTGAAGAGGAATCTGATGATGAGGATATGTGTCCACAACGATCCAGGAGGGCCAAAGCAAGACAATACGAGATGGAGCCAAGCATTACATATGAGTACCACCTAGATAAGCAGACTCCCTCTGATTACCTGATTCGTCATAATAGAGTTCGATATCCACATGTGCATCAGAGTCTTCGACATGATTTGATCAATCACCTTTGGATGAGCTTTGGAGATGGTGAATGAGGTCGACAATTGTTTCAATCCTCCTTTTGTGTTTCAATTATCTTTTGTGTTTTTTTTTATGTTGTGTGTTTTCTTTTGGAATAAAATTATATTTGTGGAATTTCAATATTTTTAAGTTAAATTGTTCAAAAAATTAAATTATGAAGTTATTTAAAAAGATTAAATGAAGAAAAGTTATCCATAAAAAAAATTAAACTTAAACCATTTTTAAACAATTTAATAAAGTTACGGATTTAAAATTTGAGTCCGGAGGGTTGGAAGAAAAAACGGTTTGAGTCTGACTAAAACCCAAATAATTACTTTTTAGATGAGGAAAATTTGGGTTTAGCCCATTGTTGTAGAAGTCCTAAGCATTTTAACTATCAAAACCACAAGCAACTCACACAGTGAGACAGCAGAGAGGGCAGTGTGCCAAAGGGTTCAGGGTTTTACGTCAAACCCCTCAAAAGCCCTAAAACCAGACACCACAACCATGGCGCGCTTCACTCGACCTTCTACACCACGCCTCCTCTACACCCTCTACACCAGCCCATCCAAAACGGTACCGTCTCCTTCTCCATCCCCATCTCCCTCTCCATCACCAGCCTCCTCTCTCCTCCTCGGCTCTTTTCACCTCCGCCAATTCTCTTCCGGCAATCTCGCACGTGCCAAGGAGGACAAAGAGCCATGGTGGAAGGACTCCATGGACAAGCTCCGAAACATCGGAATCTCGGCCCACATCGACTCCGGCAAGACCACCCTCACCGAGAGAGTTCTGTTTTACACTGGGAAGATCCATGAGATTCATGAGGTTAGAGGCAGAGATGGAGTTGGCGCGAAAATGGATTCCATGGATTTGGAAAGAGAGAAGGGGATTACCATTCAGTCAGCTGCCACTTATTGTACTTGGAATGGCTATCAGGTAATTGCAATTATTGGTTTTTGCTTTGCTTCTGTCTTACTCGGAAAGTAATGGGATTTGATGGAAATGTGAATCTTTTAATGGTGGGCAGTGATTTTTTATTTCAAAGTATGGGGAAATGGAAACTTGGCATATAAGGTGTAGTTGGGTTGTTAAATTTATAAACTTGTTGAAAATGGAGGAAGTGATCACTCTGATATGCTTCTACTTTTAATATTACACGTCAAAGACAATTAAATATAAGTTTTGAATTAGTGAAAATTTTAGCAAATGTTTGAAAATCTTGGATTTTGAGTTTAAGATATACATGAATATTGAATGACAATTCGTTTTGTCGCTTCTTTCTATACCTGGAACGTGCAAGAGGCTTGAGCTAGTTCTATTGCATTGAAGAGAATTGGTGGAAGATGGACCCGGGTCATCTTTTATTGATACGTTTGTTCTTACTTGAGAGACCTGGGAAGCGTAGCAAATTAAAATGTCACCTTACTCTTGGAGTTAGTAGGAACATGCAGTATTACAATGTTCTGTCTGAAGCTACTAATGCTAAATGAAATTAGCATTGTAGATATTTGGCGTACTGTCTTTTCCAACATATATAAAATAAAATAAAAACCTTTGAAATCACCAAGTAAGATCTAGATTCTCTTGCATGTTTCCCTTTGCTGCTTTCTCTTTAGTAAAACTATTACTTGTCAAAAAGTAAATTGAGGTTAGTAATCTTAATTTCCAGAATAGAAGAAGAAAAATGTTTCCATTAACCATAAATTTTCTATTGCAGGTTAACATAATTGACACCCCTGGTCACGTTGATTTCACCATTGAGGTTGAGAGAGCTTTGCGTGTTCTTGATGGTGCCATTCTTGTCCTTTGTAGTGTTGGTGGTGTGCAAAGTCAGTCAATTACTGTTGATCGACAAATGAGAAGATATGAGGTTCCAAGACTTGCATTTATAAACAAACTTGACCGTATGGGAGCAGATCCGTGGAAAGTTCTGAACCAGGTGCATTTCAAAATTGACGAATCATGGAAACATCTCAGTATTTTAGGTTTGCTTATTGTTTTGCTACGAGGGAAGATAGAGCATTCAGTATACCTTTTCGTTTGTCATAATGAACACAAACCATTAACTAATATCTCAGGATATTGGCCACATAATTATATCCTGAGCTTTTCAGGTTGTAATTTACCCAGAAAAAATTGATTTTGATGGCTATGTGTTCTTAAATCTCTATTTTTAGGGTGTAAAATTATTTGGTTAACATAATTGTAAATTTGTAGAATTTGTGTGAAGAAGTTCAAGGAATTAGAACTAATCTTAGTTTGGGTCGATTGACATCAGTTTCTATTTCGGTATGTTGAGGAATGCATTATACATGATTGTAATTTGTCCAACAACCTGATACAGCGAGACATGACTTTTCTAGTTCTTTTATACAAAGCGTGCTAAAATGAAACAAGGGAC